CCCGGATAAAGGATTAAGTCAATGCAACGTAAGGTCTGTGGATTTTGTGGAGAGTCCACGTAGGACATGTAGTATGCGTCAGTCCATCCTGTCTGACGTCCTGTCCGCCATGGCCTGTCTCATGGAACGGACAAAGACTCAACAGCCGTCCTGTCTCACAGATCAGTGGACCGTCGGTCTATGAACCCTAGACCCTAAACCCTGGACCGACTTGCACTTCTGACATTCTTCTCGTGACTTTTCAGCGTTCTCTCTTCATCTGCATCGTCTTCGACACATCTTGCATCATATATGGTCGACAAACTGATGAGCATGTCTTTGGATTGTCTCAGAGCCCGTCCCCCACGAGCCAGATTCCCGCTTCTTGCGCTGCCGCTCGTTGCCCTTCTCGTCACCGAAGCAGCTACTGAGTCGGCATCACGGTCAGGCCGCCTGGAGCCCCCCCGCCCTGCAATGCTGCACCTCCATCACAGGGGCTCGTACCTTGACGCAGAGGCCACAGAGGACGGCAGCGGTTACTCGTCCGCAGAGGTCGGGGGCCGACAACACGCCGACAGCGACCGTTCCTCTGTGGACGAGGCGATGCCTGCGCTGCTGCTCGAGTCGTTTCTGCGCGACGTGCCTGACGCCGCCTACATCCATGCGACTGCAGGGAGGGGTGCGGCGGGCATGATCGCCTTGGTGACGGTGCACTGGTATGACGGGGCCGAGGCGGACGACTGGGACAGGAGCGTTGAGAACCTCATGAGCTACGCAAAGGTATGCATACCTACAGTGAGTGCATCCATCAATCAATCCACTTATTCAATTCAGGCATTGATTGCATTCGTTGTCCATCTCTGTCTGTCTGCCTGTCTGTCTGTCTGTCTGTCGTCTATCATCCCCTCCCTCCCTCTGCTGCATGGCATGCAGCGTCACGGCTATACCGTGATTATCGACAGAAAGGAGCCTCAAGCGGCGGACTCCCAGGACTCTGGCGGCTGGTTCTGGTGGTCATGGACCGCCCCCAACACCACCAGCAGCAGCAGCAGCAGCCCCCTCGCCCCGCGCAAGTCCGGTCGCGTCGGGCAGCGCAAGATGGAGCTCATGAGCTATGCCCTGCGGAAGGGGTACCACACGGCGGTGTGGAAAGACGCCGACGTGCTCTTCATGGACTGCGACCAGCCGATCGAGTCCATCCTCGCCCGCTGCCCCCACAAGAGCGGCATCTTCTTCTCGGACGTCTCCCGAACAGCCATCTGCAGCGGCACGTTCATTCTCAGGAACACGCCCTACTCGCTCAAACTGCTCAACGAGAGCCACCAGGTGGAGCCCACGGCCCCCAAGCCGCTGCAAGGCGACCAGACCGCCATTGTGTTTGTGCTACTGGGCAAGCCTGACAAGTATCGCCACAACCTGGGCCCCTGCATCGACAGCCTGTGTGTGGGGGCGGCGTGCTTCGAGTTCTTTCCGAAGGAGACGGAAGACAACATCTGCATCTTGGAGCACAACGACTTTGGCACCATCTCGTGTGGACAGTACACAGGTGAGTGAGGCCTTTTGTCTCCTGCGAAGACACGATGCGATGCGTGTGTGCCTGGATGCGGTGCGGTGCAGAGGGGGAGTTCGCGCTGCACTTCGCCGGGACAGGCGGCAAGAAGCACGAAGAGATCAGGGACTTCTCGGCACTCAGCACATGCGCCGAGCCATACACCCTGGGAAAGCCCCTCCACATCTACTCGGCAGCGCTCAATGCCACCATGGCCCGTGCCTTCTCACTGCAAAAACACCAAGCCAACGACACTCTGAGCACCGGGGAGCTCTTCTGCAGCAGCACCGGCGTGACACACACGAGCCGCTTCCCCTTGGGCATCCCCATCTCCCTGCTGCCCGTTGCGAGCGAGTTGGAGGCACTGAGGGCACTGCAGAGCGAGATAGAAAGGACCGAAGCCGACAAGGACGACGTCTTCATGCTGACGGGGCCGACAGTGTGGTTCCAGAAAGACGCCGCGGACATTCTCAACACTTACCGCACCGAGTTCCCCACTCGTCCGATGGTGCTGCCGAGATGGAACGTCACGGCCAACACCCCATCGGACTGTGTCCTGGCGAGGTGGCTCTTTCCCCTTTTCGTGACGGCAAGGGAGATGGTGGTTATCTGGCTGCTCATCGCAGCTATCACCCAGCTGCAGCAAGCCGCCAAGCTGTGTGACGGCGACAGCTTCCGTCGGGCTGTCGACAGCTTGGGCGTGCGGTTCGACGATGACCAGAGGCTGTCTTGCCTCCTGCAACGGCCCACAACCCAGGTCACCGCGACTCTGAAAGACGCTAACGGATCTTCATATGAGCCGGCTGTCGTCGTGCTGGACCACAGCACTCGGTCGCTCCCCCTCCCGCACCCCCAAACAGCTGAGTGGAGCCGGGACAAGCTGACCAGGTTTCTGAATGTCCCAAGTGCCACCCCGCCCCATCCCCCCTTGCAGTGGGAGAGAGTGCGCTATGCGTCTCTATGTGACGTGGAAGGCAAGTATAAGAAAAGAAAGTGTGTGGGTGAGTTGGGCGACCATCCAGGTCCGACGAGGACCCTGCCCCCGACACCGACTCAACCGGCAACAACCACACAGCCACCACAGAGATAGTGAGTGAGAGGGGCGGGCGGTGACTGACAGTGGGGCTTCGGGTGGGGTGCATGTGTCTGTCTATGCGACTGTTACTGACGGTGGGTGCGTGGGTGTAGTCGAGCAGGTGTGTGCAGGGTGAGTGGGTCGGTGATGCAAGCATTCACTGACGAGCTGCATGCACGTGTGTGTGTCTGTATCCATCCATCGGCCGACCAATAAAACGCACAAACATCATCATCCCCGATGTCACATCCATCACACGGCACTCTACCTACCTACCTACCTCCCTACCTGGGTGGCTGTCTTCCATTCACTCACTCACTCACTCACGAAATCACCGGTAAGTGCACGTCAACTTGTCCGCTCTACAGTGCGTTTCTGAGCACCACCACTATTCGCCATCATCGTTCCATTCTTGACAATCCTGCCCGTGACATACGTCTCCACGCTGCCGGTTGCCGTCCGCAGCCGCAGCGACCCGTCGGCATTGAGCCCCTCCAGCACCCCCTCACGCACATCACCATCCATGTCGATAGCTATCGGCTGCCCACGGTAGGCCAGGCGGGCATTCAGCATCGGCAGGAAGGGCGCGAACCCCTCGGCCATGAGCTGCGTGATGGCCCCGCACACCCGGTGCTGCAGCTGCTGCACGATGTCCTCGGCCGTCACGGGCGGCTGGCCGCTGCTGGCGCGGTACCGGTTGACCGACGTCACACGCTGGTCCCTCACGTGTGTGGCGTAGTCGCTGTCCGCATCCCCCCTGTCGTTGACATTGATGCCGATCCCCACAAGAAGAGAAGAATAAGTCTCCCCCGCGTCTTGGATTGTCAGTCCCGGTGCGTTGCAGAGCACGCCGCAGACCTTGTGGCCGTCCAGCAGCACGTCATTGACCCACTTGACCTGGCTGGGGATGCCGAATGTGTCCAGTGTGTGCGCCACGGCGAGAGTGGTCACCTGCGGCACGTGGAAGAGCAGATGCCGCTTCTCAGAAGGCCATGCAGCCACGAAGGTCGCGTGCACGTTGCCGCCGGGCGAGTACCACCGCCTGTTGTCCCGCAGTCGGATGTCGTATGTGCCGATGCCGTCGGTCTGGTTGGCGGCGCTCACCAGCACCCACTGCGATGGACTCAGTCCTTCTTCCAGCAGCCTGTCGAAGCGCTCCTGCGCCCACCGTTGTGTCGACGGCAGGCTTTCGAAGTGCAGCCGCTTCAGAGATGACGGCCCGCCGGACCCGGTGTGAGAGTGGCGGAGAGGGACGGTCTCGATGCACGGGAGCGACTGCATTGCGATGGATCTTGAGTGCAGGGGGAAGGGGGGGTGATGGGATGAATCAGCGGTCGATGGGGATGCGATGATGGATGGAAGGAAGCTGATGAGGCAGCTGTAGCGGTAGGCCAACGTCACGAGGCTGGCACGATGATAGAAAGCAGCAAAATGGACAGAAGATAATATGCTCGAGGACGAGCCGAGCGTCAGCATCAGCATCAGCTTGAGATGGGGTCACACACACACGCGCAAGTTCGTGAAACCGCTGCGGGCGGAACCTTGGGTCCACAGTGAGAAGAACCTTGCTGTCCAATCAAGAAATACGTCCATCATGGAAGCACATACGCATGTCTGGGAGGAATGGTAGACAAATACCCATCGGCCCCGCCTTCCCCGTCCCCTGGCACACAGCACACAGCAGAGATGCTTCACTCGGATGATGCGAGTGGTCGTCTTCCGGGATCGGTGGTGCGGTCTAAGTGACTCTCTTTTCGACTTGATGACGAAAGAGAGCCAGTAGACCCACAACAAGGATCCACGAAGACAGCCACTCATTGCATTGCACAGGTCATACATACGTGCTCACAGACACAGACACATTCCCCCAGCCAGCCACCCTCATCTCCCGAACCCCACGGGCAGGCCCATGGCATGCATCATCTTCTCTTCTTCTGTCATCTGCGGCCCACGACGCTGCTGATTGTCGCTCTCTATCTGCGCCTTGCTCGCGCCACTCGACTCCACCTCACACACTGCCGACACATCCACATCTCGTTTGGACTTCTTGGACTTCGGGCGACCACCCTGGTAGTCGAAAGCGTCCGGGACATTCTCGCGTCTGGCACTCTCTGCCGGCTCCGTCACGGTGTCGGCGGCGGTGGGTGCCTCGGCTTCTTGATCTGCTGCGGCAGTTGTGTCTTCGTCTGGTCGGTCGCTGTCATCTCTCGGACGTTTTCGGTCCCGCGAGGGCTCTTTGTGTTCGTCTTTGTGTTCGTCGCGCTTCTTCCACAAACCAGAAGAGTCCCTCTCCATCTTATGCGGCCTCCTGCAGCAGAAGCATCGAGCAGCACACGCTGTCAGATGGTGTCTGAGTCTGTTCTCGCGTTTGCGTTTCAGTGGTCACCTCAGCTACCTGTCTGGGATGGCATCGCCCCTTGTGTCCTTGGCCGCCCTATCAGGAAGCTCATCTTGCTCCTGCTCTGACCGTGGGACCTCTACAACCGCATGGACACCGTTCGTGAATGTCGGATGTGAGTGCACACGATGCGTCGAGCCTACCTGGATCCCTTGCTCTCTCGAACCTCGGCATTTCCCTCAGTGCTTTTCTCCTCTCTGCGTGCGAGCCTTTTCCCGATCCCTATTTGCGAGCTTCCTTGAGGTTTCTTCCAGCTCCCCGCAATTGCCCTGATGTCACTTTGAGGGCTCCAACGCCACTGACGCAGTCGTTCCGCTGGCGAATAAGCGAAGGTCGGCATCTCCAGTACGTCTGCCTGCTCGACGCCTCCTCAAGGGCGTGGGGCGGGCTATCCACTTGCAGGGCGACAGAGGGAGGCCATACACCTCCCTCCCACCCTCCGCTCTATGCTGCGTCTGTCGGCAGTGGACGAATACCCCTACCAAGTGGGCGGCCACACGCAACTGGTTAAGCCGAGGGGCAGTGCACTCGTCTACAAGCCACTCAATGCAAACGAACACCGTTTCTACGGTACACGTGACAGCGACACGCGACACACAGGAAGGCTGACTGACCGACTGGGCGCATGTACTGTAGCTGTCTGTGTTGGGTGTGTGTGCATTGCAGAGAAGCTGCGTGCGTTGGGTGGGACTTGTGTGGTTGAGGCTCATTCGGCGCTGCAGCTGATCCGGAAGTTCACGCCGCGTTACTTCGGCAGCAAGGAGGTGGTGCTGGGGTCGGGTCACATGATGCAGGTCATCATGCTGGAGGACTTGGTCGACGGCTTCCGCCGCCCGTGTGTGCTGGACCTCAAGATGGGCCGCCGGCAGCGGAAGCTCAACGCATCGCCCGAGAAGGAGAGGCGGCAGGAGATCAAGAGCCTCACAACCACATCACATAGCCTGGGATTCAGAATGTACATAAGAAACGATGCGGTCACACAGACACTCAGACACTTGTAGACTCTTACATGAATGAGACCATTCTGTCTGTCTGCCTGTCTGTGTGTGGGTCCCTCCCTGTGTGTTTGTCGTGCAGTTGTGGGTGTCAGTTGTACGATCGCCAGGCTGATAGGTATCACCTGAGGTCCAAACTCTGGGGCCGAAGGCTCGACGAAGGTAGGTCAGCAGGGCAACGGCAGGCACAACACAATGAGCACACACTGGTGGCGCGTGCAGACACTGACTGCATTTTGTGTCTTGTCTGGTCTTGTCTTGTCTTGTGTTGTGTGCAGGTATGGTTGAGAGGACGTTGGAGTTGTTTTTGTACGATGGCCATCGTGTGGAGGCCAACCTCATCCTGCCGCTGCTTGAGAAACTTCAGACCCTCGCCAAAGGTACACACCACAAGGCAGCAGCGGCCCCATCCCTCTACACACCCACGTCACTCGCGTGTCTGTCTGTGTGTGTGTGTGTGTGTATGTATGTGTGTGTGAAGGTATCGGCGAGGCGCGGCACTATCGCTTCTGGTCCTCGTCGCTGCTCGTCGTCTACGACGGGGGGCTCCCCACGCCGCACGAGCGATGCAAGGTAGGGTAGGCATGTGATGTGCACACGCATGGAGACACACAACACACCACACCCACACACGCTGCCTCTGTGTGGGTCCCTGTGTGTGTGTCCATCCAGTCGGTGGACATTCGTCTGATAGATTTCGCCAACACGATCTACCTGGCCGACAACCCAACGGCCGACTGCGAGTACCTCTTCGGGCTCAAGAACCTTAGCGACGTCCTGCAGCGCATCGCCACACGACACACACCTTCAGCCCTCGCGCCACCCCCTCTCCCACGCGCACACTCGTCGCCACACCACCCTCACCCTCACCCGGCAGCCCAGCAGCAGCATAAGCTGGAAGACCTGCTGGCCGACATCGACAGCCACGTGTGTGTCGGGGAGGACACCGATGACGCTGCCGCCGGCCGGCTCGGGAGCTGCCGTCCGCAGAGGCGTGAGCCCTCAGTGGTGTGTGTGGTCAAGCGGCGAGGCAGCGACTGGACCGACCGGCGAACCATCGCACGGCCCCGCACGTCGACGGAAGAGGGCCGGGGGGAGGGTGAGGGCACGCCAGCAATCGGCACGGACGCGTCTGTGCGGGCAAGGAGGGAGAGCAAAGTGCTCGACAACATGGCTCCACCCGCACAGACGCAACCTGATACGGTCTGGCGGGGTCAGGTGTCCAGTGATGATAGCTCCAAGTCGACGTCTCTAGTGGGCGGGGAGTCGCTGTGGGTGCAGTTGGCTTCGACAGAGACCCTCCAGGCGCCGAGCGAGACGGCCGAGGGGGAGACGCCGGCGGCTGGGAGTCTGAGTAAGCATTGAGAAGAGGCAGGGATGAACAAGCAAGGTGACAAACACCGGCATCTGTCCATCCTCCGTGTGTTTGGTGTCTGTCAGTGAATCCTCGTGAGCTGGGTTGGTTCGGTAGTGGTGTCATGTCGCTGGCTCCGGCGGCCGACACGGACATCGAGAGAGACACTGTTGGTGGTGTTGCTGAGCAGGGTGAGGAGGGGCCGAGTGGTGGTGCTGGCGTAGCGGGGGCGGTGGTGATGGGTGTGGAGGACGACCCATGCGACACGTGGGATATGCCGATGGATGCCGGCCGTGCTGGGCGGTGGGATGGCATTGGTGGCTGTGATGACGATAGAGCGTCCGAGATGGCAGATACCGACCAATACTACTGCCTCAGGCAGGCAACACACACGCACCATACCATCACAGACACAACCAACCGAGGCTCATATATCTATGTCTTTTGTGGTGGCCTGGCCTGCCTCTCGTCATGCAATCAACGCAGGCGCTGTCTCTCTGCCCCGCGCATAGGCGGCAGCAGCGCATCCCACCACCACCTCCTGGCGTTGATCGATGACCTACCTGAGGACCAGACGACCTACGCTGTCGTCCACATGAGCGACGACAAGGAGCCCTACCTCTGGCTGCCCTTCCCATCACACCCATCCCGGCCGCCCCCCTGCTACCTCTACTCATCCTACACACAAGACCAGCAGCACCCCCACCACCATCAGCAGGCGCCATTCGGCCGCTCCCCCTGTCCGTCATTCCTCGACCCCACCCCACCCAACTCGGCCAGGAGCACACCCGCCACAGGGCCGCTTATCGATGGTGAGCAGGACGGCACGGCGGGAAATGGTGTGTTGTCATCGCTTCTGCCGGCGCCGCTGTTTCCGCCCGATACGCCCTGGGCCCACCCGCCTAATTGCAACACCCAGGCGTCCTTCCCCGCCCCCGCCCCCAGCCCTCCCTTGCAGGAACAGTCGTCCCATGGCAGCTGTGACGTCAGCCCCAACCACAGTGCTTTTGGGAACATCGCCTCAGCGCCGCCGCTCAGCCACCTGGCAGCATCACGTGCCAACACCAAGGTCACCATCCCGCCGCCGCCCGTCCCCTCTGACTCGCCCGACTCTCCCGTGCGTCTCCATTCGCGAGGGCTGCGACGATGCACCACGTCTGAGCAGCACACAGGGGCGTGCAGCCCGATGAGACCGTTGGGACTGCTGACACCTGCGAGTCGGTCGTTTTATCGGGGCGGTGAAGGGGGCGGTGGTGCGCCGGTGTTTCTGAACCGGCTGGCCTCCTTCCCTGCGGGCGTGCGTGGTGGTGGTGGGGATAAAGAGCCGACAACGCCCATATCCTTCTCTGTCCTCAAGCGGCGCAGCAAGCCCAAGGCCTCCCGCCCGAACTCCCTGCCCCCGAGGTCACGGATGCGTCCTCGCCCCCTGCTTATCCCCTACCATCGTCAGCTCAGCGCAGCGCAGAAGAGGTCTCCCGACCAGCAGCCTGCGAGTTCGAAGGTGGTCGAGAGCGGGGCCAGTGGTGGTGGTGGGCTGCCGTCTCCCACCTCGGTGTGTGAGCGGGGGTCGTGCTCGTCCGAAGACTCCACTGCGGCCCGCACGGGCTGCATCTCAGCGTCGGCCTCGCCGCTGGCGTCACCCACTGACGCCCAGACGGAGGCCACACCCGTGCTGCAGACGGCGGACAGAGCGGGAGAGAATGCCACGCCGACGTTCCCTCTGCTGCCGACTTCCCATGAGTCGAACGCGTCGTTCCCCGGTGCGGATGGTGCCACCATCACACTGGTGCACTGCGGTGGTGGTGCTGTTTGGAGGGAGAGGGCGAGCAGCCTGGTGGGTCGGTGCATCGAGAGCATGAGGGGGGAGAGGAAGGAGTGAGGTGGTGCACTGCAAGTGATGGATGGGCTGATATGATGGGCTGGTGATTGATTGGTGATATCGATCTATCGTTTTGTAGAAGGGAGGGAGTGAGGGTATGTATGGCGCACCCACCGCACAGAAGTGTTTTCTCTGAAAGGTGGGTGGCATCCATGGCACTTTTTCGTTGGTTGGTGGGTTGGCTTGGTCTGTGGGCACAGTGAGGCCCCCTCCCCTCCCGCAGCAAGCAAGAGTGATGGATGATAGGCGGGAGGGAGGGAGGGAGGGGCCTCACAATGTGCCCACACAAAGGGGAGGGAGGCAGGGAGGGAGACAAGGAAAGCTGCAGGGAGCGACAGAGAGAGAGCTGCCCGCCTGTCTGCCGTGTATGTCTGTGTCTAATTTGAGTAGTGTCGTCTATGGCTGGCTGGCAGGCAGGCAGGCAGGCTGCAGCTGATGAGAGAGCGATGATATCCTGCAATTAACAGTGGGTGCATTTGTATGTCGTGTGTGTGTGTGTGTGTGTGTATGTGGGCACCAACTGCACAGACACACGCGAGCGCAGAGCAGAGCAGGCGGCATCTGACTCACTGGGTGAGTAGGGGAGGGAGGGAGTCTGTCTGTCTGTGTGTCTGTCATCAATCTAACCATGGGTATGTTTGTACGTATGCGACAGACGGACAGGTGCAATCGCCGTCCGTCAAAAGTCTTGCTTGGCTGGCTCTGTAACCACACCACACCTACACCCCCTAGGGCGCCTTTCTGGCCTCATTTGTATGCCCACACACGTCCTGCTGCAGACTGCGGGACGGCGAACGAACGAGTGCATTGTGCATGCCTATGTGTATTCCTGCCTTCTACCGACTGACTGACAGTCAATGGCTTTTCCTGCTGTCGTGCCGTGCCGTGCTGTGTCGTGAAATGTGCTCGTGCTTACGCTTTCTCTCTCTCTTGACCACACACACACACACACACACCCTCACGCACACCAACTCACTCACTCACCTTCTGCCCATTTGCTTGTACAGGTAAAGTAATCCGCTATCTCTCGTCCTCCCACAATTTTGACGAAAAGGCCCCCACTCAGCCGCACGGGCTGGCTGGGGGCGTGTTTCTTCGTCACCATGCGTGTGTGTGTGCGCGTGTGTGCGTGTGTATGTGTGTGTGTGCGACTCTCATGTGTATGCCGTGCTATCGGCTCTGTCTGTATGGATGTATGGCTGTGTCGGTCGGTGTGTCGGGCATTGATGTGTGTGTATTCATTCATCAATCTGTCGCTCGCTGGCAGAGGTACGTGTGCCTGGCTATCCCTCCCCCGTTGCTTCGCTTCACACTGGCCGGCCGGCCCTTCCATTCCTCTCTCGTCTCGCGCTCTGCACACCTGCATGGATGGATGGATCCCATGTCATGATGGATGCCATCCATCCATGTATGTGTGCTGTTCAAGTGCTCGCATCTCCCTCTCTCTCTATGTGGGTGCCTTCCTGTCTGCCCTGCCTGCAGTGGGTGAGGGAGTGGTCAGATGGATCTTCTCCTGAGTGTGATTATTGTGTCCCTCCGTGTGTGTGTGAGTGTGTGCGTGACAATTTTGACTTGCACGCTGGATGGTTGACTGACTGGATGCCGTGTGGTGTGCGGACGGGTGGTGGAAGAGCCACCGCGCGCAGTGTACGATACAAAGATAAGCAGGCAGACAGGGAGGAGGAGGGAAGCGATGTGTATGCGATGGAGTCTGTCTGGAACGACGCTGTTTTTTTGCTTTTCTAGTCTTTGGACGGCCCGGTGACCTACGCGTGTATGTGTGTGAGCGAGCCGTGCCCTGCCCCCATTTTCCCGCCTTGACCGTCGCGAGCGGAGGGCGCATTGGGGTTTTTTGGCCAATCGATCGAGGCAGCCAGGCTAGCGATGCAGGCAGGCAGGCAGGTTATATGGACAGATATGGACGGAAACAGGAGGACCTCGTGTGAGTGGAAATGACTGGTGCATTGAGGTGCCGGAGGATGGCGGTTAGCGAGACGACCTGACACACACACGCATACGCACACCAACCACACACGCAGAGAGAGAGGGGGGGGGCCAACTTGAGGGGCAGAGAGGAGAGACACATCGGATGGAGGTCTGTCTTCTTCAGTCAGAATGTATTCTAACCGGCTGTGTGCCGCGTGCTGCTGCGGCACTGTGTGGGATGAGTGGTAGGAGGGAGTTACTTACTTGTGCGTGGGTGCGTGGGACTAACCCGCCCACTGCCCACGCCCCCGCGCACCGAGGTCATCGAGTTTTTGTTTGTGTCACTTTTGGCGGGAGGGATCGGATCCTCTGGACGGAGTCTTTGTCAACTGGCTGGCTTGGTGGATGCATACGTGCATGCAGGGGCAGGTATACGTCATGAATGTGTGGTTTGTGTGTGTGTGTGTGTGTTTTGACCCCCAACAAACCCACCCACCCCCCCACCATGTACCAACCATGTTTTGTGAGTGGATTTGTCGCGTGTTGTGCGCTGTGCCTGCTGCGGGTGCGTGTGTGGCAGTACCTCCCTCCCTCCCCTGTCTCTGCATATCGTCATATGCTGTGTGTCTGTGTGTGTATGTGTGTGCGCCCGGCCCGTGCTGTGTCGATAGCTGGCTGACTTGCCTTGCCTTCACTCACTGGATGAACGATGCAAATGACTGCAGTAGTGACCTCATCTCACCTCACATCACCTGTGATATACCTGACCGATCGTCATATGCTGTCGGTGTACATGTTTGTTCCCTCGGCTGATGTCTATCGTCCTTCACCCACACACCTCAGTGCAGCTGTGCGTCGGCAGCTTCACTGATGGGGGTCGGGTGCTGTGCAGATAGACATCAGCCGAGAAGACCTTTAGCGCTAGAGTGCAGCCATGCTGTGCCGTGTGTGTCGCTGACTGCTGGATAAGTGGATCGATGGATGGATGGACCGGTGGATGCAGTGGCTGATCACGGACGTGTGTGACGTGTGACGTGGTGGTGCATTTTTTCCGTGACGTGAGCTGGCTTTCCCGTTACTGCAGGTGTGTTGCCTTCATGTGACATTCGTGTCTCATGTCTGTCGACGTGGACGTGTTAGTTCTTTCCGGCCGGCCAAACAAAAGGGAAAATCTGGGCCGGCCAAAACGAAACATCTGGGGAAATGAAATGTCTGTGGGTGCCATGCATGGTGGATAAAGAATCGCTTGGGTGCAATGCCACGCAAACCATAGGCATCAACGAAAACGGGCAGGCGGGGTGGCCGATTCAACCCCGGTGGACCCCCTTTCTCACACAGACAAGCCAAAAGAAATGAACAGAACATGCCAACAGAACACTTGTCTCCCCTCCTCTCCCTCTCCCTCTGTGTGTGTGGGGGCTGGTGGTAGTGTGGTGCGAAGTCAGGGCAGGGCTAGAGTCCGCCCTCAGCCTCCTCGAGTTCCTCGAGGGTCATGGCCTTCTTGCCGTCTTCGCAGGGCTCGGTGACGAACTTGCCTTCGCCCCCTGCAGGATTCGGCACCATGCAGCCGTACTCCTGCACACACACACACACACACGCACGCACGCACGCAATATGGTGGCGGGCGGGGGGACTTGTGTGTGTGTGTGTCTGATCTGACCATGTCGAGGTCGCTGGCTACTCCGCCGATGGCGTAGATGGGCTCGGCCTTCTCGTCAGTGTCCTTCAAGAAAGCCTTGCACGTCTGTAGAAATGACATGTCATGTGGAGGGAAAAGGGGAGCAAAACAACTACATAGGTATCTATCGTGTGTTTGAATTCGTTAACCCACCTTGACGTCGCTCGAGCTCGTCGTCATCTGCAGGCCAGCGCATCCATCCATCCATCCATCAGTACCTCGACAGATCTGTCCATATACCCATCTTACCTCGCACTGCTTGCACTTGAGGATCTTGCAGTTGGATTTGACCGTTGAAGCCGAGGGCTTGCCGCGGCGGCCCTTGACGACCGTGAAGCCCTCCTCGACCTTCGGTTCCTCCTTTCAGGCGGCCAGCTGCAGATGGCGGTCGGTTTCGGTGCGCAGGAAGCAGACCGCCTCGCCGTCGAGCATGCTGCACTTCCCGCCCTCCTGGGTGAAGACGTGGGCGGTGGTGGTGGTGGTGGCGAAGAGGAGGATGGTCATGAGGGCGAGGGAGAGGACCATGGTGGTGCTGAGGCTCGACATTCTCAAATGTACGGGAGGGAATACGAGAGGGAACGCAACGATGACTGAAGAAACGACTAAGATGGTGATGGGGGTTTCTGATGGACTGATGATGGGGGCGTTTTTGTTTTGGCCAGGAATTCTCGCCAGAAGCGCGCACTAGTAGTGAAGGATGGAGGAGCACGTCCCGTCATCCGGAGGACCGCCCCCTTTCGCGGTGCCCGCCGGTGGGCAGAAGAAGAAGCAGATCTCCACTCAATCTGCGTCCATTCGATTCGTGTTGTTCCATCTCTTTCTCTCTGTGTGCTCCTTCCGTGTGCGGACGTCAGGCGGGCATCATCACCTGGCGGCCTACACCGTGTCATCCCCGCAGCCACAGCAAGCACCAGCCTCTCAGCCCGTGACACCTTCAAGGGTGAGCGATGCCATTCACCACAAGCGGCCTAGGCACATCCCATGAGTGAGTGCCCGCATCTGAGTTCGTTCCTCTGATTTGGTTTGGTTTGGTGTGATGCGATGCGGTGCGATGCAGGTGCCTGTGCACCTGGACCCCCTGCAGTCGTCATCGCCCATCAGCGCCGCGCCGGAGCGGCCCTCGTTGTCGCGAGTGCGGCGTGAGGTGCACCAGAGGAGGTACAAGACTGCCATACAGATGTGCGAACAGGCCCTACAGGTGAGGGAGGGAGGGAGTGAGTCGGGGCAGGGCGGGGTAAGGTTGATTGATGCGTTTATTGCTGCTGCTGCATTGTGTTGTTGTATGTGTGTGGTCGATGGGTGGGTGGGTGCAGTCGGGTGGTGCGGGCAGTCAGTTGGCGCCGACTGAGGTGATAGCGTGGCACACCGTACGCATCTACTGCCTGCTCAAGCGACAGGTGCGCCATGCCTGCCTGAGGACACTGGCTGCATACTCTAACTTACATGACAGGTGGGGTGGATGGTGCATGCCTGTCTGTCTGCCTGGCTGTCTGGCTGTTTGTTCGTTTGGCCTGCAGGAGTACCAACAGGCGGATGAAGCACTGGCACGCCTCGGGTGAGCTAGGAGAGAATTCATTCTTCCTCTGAGGAATGAGGGACGTCACTCACTCTTCTATCTATCTATATCTCTGCGGGCGGGCGGGCGACAGGTCGTTTGAGGCCCCGAAATGGCGATACGAGCAGCACCCAGACCTATACCCGTACGCACGAACGAACGACATACTCACACCCACCTTCCCACCCACCATGGTCTTTTCATCCGTGCAGTGGCCAATCAGGCTCGTTCGTGCCCTTCGTTCTCCGTCAGCTGTCAGCTGTGGCGCCGTATTTGGCCAACCGGCCGCAGGTGACCCTCGACCGCCTGACTGAGCTGCAGACGCTGTGCGTGCAGCACCACACCGACCACACCGACAGTGAAAAGGCCAGGCAGCTGTGGCTGGACCGGGAGATCGCCGTCATCTGCCTTATCGCCGAGGTGCACTGCCATCCCGCCCTGCAGAACTTCCCGGTACATCTGACAAAGAGAGAGAGGTGTGTGTGTGTGTGTGTGTGTGAGGGGGGTACACATGCGAGTGTCCGTCTGCTCGTGTGTGACCAGGAGGCCATCAGGGTTCTGCAGCGGGCCCTTGAGCTAAGGCCCCGTGACCGAGGCACATTGTCAATGCTGGGCAGAGTCTCCCTGCAGGTTAGCAACCGCATCAGAAGCTAGACTCTCTCCACATGTCGCTGGTTGTTCACACACACAGTTGGGTGCGGTTGAGTCAGCGGAGGATTACTTCGGTCTCGACGAGTGCCTCGCAGAGAAGGACTCAGCCCTCGTCCGCGCAAACAAGTGAGCCCCCCATGAACTCCCACCCGCCCCTCCCACCTGCCCTGCACAAACACCCACACATCACACTAGAATGAATGAATCGCTTTGCCATCCATGTGTGCAGCGGCCACCATGCTTTAGCGAGCCAGGACTATGCCACCGGCGTCAAGGAGTTCGAGGAGAGCAAACAGCTGGCGGAGGCGACACTGCAGCAGCACATCAATGCCGCAAGGGCCGTCCTCCCGGGCGGACCCGAACCTGCTGACCAGGCCAAGATCGCACGCGCGTCGCAGGCGTGTGCGACGGCTGCCAATAACCTGGCTGTGGCGCACTTGTAAGCAGACGGCGAGAGATGGGAGGGTGCACATGACATGAAGGGCATTCTCTGGTTCGTTGATTCATTCAGTTACGACAAAAACTTGCCGAGGGCGAAGGAGGTGCTGGAGAACTCACTGTGGGCCCAGCCGGTAAGTGAGAGAGGCATCCCATCCGTCCGTCAAATCACCACGCCACCACACACCCAAGTGGCCGCTGTGTGTCTGCAGGACGTGATGGGCCTGACCAACAATGGCGTCATAGCGCCCGCCGTCAAGAACCTGCTGTCCTTCTGGGAGTTCGACCGCGACAAGAGTCACACCACTTCCGCCCTGCAGGAGCTGATATCGTCAACGTGCAACGAGGACGTGCAGGTGTGGGAGTCGCTCAAGACACAGCAGGGCCAGGGCGGGCAGCCCGGTGCTGCGGGGAGGGTGGCCATGGGCAGCCCGCCTAGACAGGCCGTAGGCATACCCGTCGTCGGACAGGCCCTCTGACTTGATCGATGGGCCGGGTGCCATATGTGGGTGTGGTGTGTGCATATGAATCCCCGATGAGCATTTCATTCGATAAATGAGAAGAAAGGCGTGAATAAACGACATACGACATAGATAGGGGGTCTGTCCGTCCTTGGTTTGGTTTGGTGGTGGTCACCACTCCACTTAATCACCTACCCAATCACCCGCTCCCCCCGCCGCACTCAGCCAGCCAGCCGGCCAGCCGGCCGGCATCATCATCATCCAACAAACGAGGGCGCAACAAATATATAGAATACGACTTTACGCATCAACAGACAGACAGACAGACAGACAGACAGATGGCCATGGCCATATGGCGTACACACAGCCAGCCTTACACACACTACACAAAATGGCGAGAGAGTTCCCCAATGGCGTCATGCTGCGGCGATGCTGGTAGTCCTCACTGGTTTGCGGAGGTGAGGTGTCGGTGAATTGGGGAGGGATTCGATGAAGTCCCTCATCTGATCCCTAGCCAACTCACAGCAGATCTCACACCCACCACCAGTAAGTAATACAGCGAAAGCATGACACAGCCACACACCGACCCATTCACTCATTCACTCACTGACTGACTCAGAAAACAGCAGCGCACCACCTTTCGCTGTGTCATGGGATGCTGTGCTGTGTTGCGTGCCGCAGTCATGGCCTCTCCTTGCCCCTTCATAGATAGCTATGGTGTGGGTAGAGACACACTCGGCTCGTTGCACTGCACACCCACCCAAGAAGCGACAGGACGAAGCAATGACGGCACACGCACTCAATACAATACACGTACTTCAGCCAGAAAGAACAAAGACCGTGCAATGCACGATCTGATCTCCCTTCCTACGCAAACAAAGGCCAATCGAGTACTCAAAACACGCGACTCACCCCCACCCCCCTCCGTCTGCTTACACATTCGCGGCGAGCTTAAACAGGCAGACATCCGTCCATAAACGCACTTTTTTAAACACCATCATATATATGCACACTCATCCAAAGGGGCTGGCTGGCTGGCTGGCTATCGTGGCTATCGTGGCCATCGACCGCTACAAGGTCGAGGAGACCCCGGGGTGAGGTGATGCGATGCACGCAGCGCAGCCAAGGGAAGAAAACTCCTGACAAGGTGCACTGCACAGCATACACACAGACAGCGAGTCTATCCGCCTTCCTTCCCCTGCGCACCGCACTCTCTCATTATTTCCCGCACCCACCTTCTTCGTGGAGAAATCATTCACTCCTGGTCATACTTGGCGATAATGTCGTTATATCCCTCCAGCAGCGGCACCCCTGTCAGCCGGGCGATCTCATTCCGACACGCAATCGCCTCCCGCAGCCCCTCCCCCCTCCCCCACGACCCTCGCACATAGAACAACACACCCTCCGGGCCGTTGCCTCCAAGCGTCACACCAAACGCACACCGACTCGATGAGAAACGAATGCCGAGGGCCGGGGGTTTCGCCTCGGCCGTGGGTGGGGGCTCCGACAGCAGCAGGAGGGCGGAGAACTGCGGCAGGAGCCTCTTGAGCTGGGGCAGCACCTCGTTGGCCGTCACGGCGATCTGCCGACGGTGTGGCTGCGGGGGCAGTGGAGGGGGCTGGTCCAAGAACTCGGCATAGCCCGTCACGTGTGGGGCCTTGTCGCCGGTGAAGAGGTTGCGCCTCGCGATAGCCGCCTTGAGCGACCCCTGCACCGCCCCCAGGCACCCACCGATCGCCCCCTCACCCAGCGGGATGCTCATGCTCTCCGTCAGCAGCTGAATGCCATTGGTCGGGTCGAGGAGGAAAGGTGCCGCACGGTCGGTGTCCCACGAGAGAGACAGGGGAGGCCCCGCACGACCCATGGCCACCAGCTGGGCGCCGTACAGGCTGTTCAGGCCCTCTATGTAGGCGTTGGCAATCGCGGCCGCATACCTCTTCCTCTGGTAAGGGAGTGGCGCATCCGCCCGTGGGGTCAGCCGTGGCTGCTTGCGTTGCGATGACGGCTCGGGCAGGAGGCGTGAGCTCACGAGGCTGGCCGGTGGCGCCACGGCCTTTCTCTTGCGATTGTCTCTGTCTGGCGTCGCCTTCCTCCCCATCTGTATTCTCGGAGGAGTGGCCGGTGGCGGCGGCATGGGGCTCTCTCGCTGGACCATCGAATCGGGCACGGCAGGGTCGGACGGGTCGCGGAGGCGCTTCCCTCTGCCGGGCCGCATCTGTCGGGCTCTTGCGGCCTTGGTCGGCCCTGCAGACGACGAGAGTAGGCGGCTGTCTCGTGACATGGCCACATAGTCGCACGCAGGGTCATACTCGCCATAGACGTTGATGCGCCGGTCGTCGAGGAGCTCCTCGTGGCCCTCGACGGGCGGCATGCACTTGGGCGCCCCCATGTCGTTGCGAATGGCCACCGCCTCGATCAGCGACCGCTTGATGGCGGCGGGGTCGTGGTACTCCTCCGGCTTGACCTTGAGCCCCGCAAGCATCACTGGCTTGACGTGCTCCGGCCACGCAGTCGACAGCATGGTAGTCGGACACGCGCTTTGCCGGTCCCAGGACATGGCCAGCATCCCCGGACGGCCGTAGTGCTCCCGCAGGGCCGCGATGTATGCCGCCGCCACCAGGGCGGCGTAGGCCTTCCGCTGCTCCCACTCGGCCGCGTCGTCGGCTCCAGGCAGCGGGGGCGTGTTTCGCTTGACGGGCATGGTTTTGTCGGAGCACTGCGAGTCAGAGAGGGGGGCGTTGTGCTCAGGCGGGCACAGCGGCATGCACTCCGGGGTGAGGTCGTTGTCTGCAGGGTCGCCGTAGCCCAACACACCCGCATAGTCGACCGCCGGGATGCCTGCCTTCTCGGCGGCACGGTTGCGGTACTGAACGGCCACATGCAGCATCATCGTGGCCACGTCAATGGGGAGGGAGGAGCCGCGGACCGATGCCAGCCTGGAGAGTGTCGGGGGCAGCCGCACACGGACCTTGCGCAGGCTTACTTGGGGCACGCACTTGGTCACGTTCCAGGTGATGCCCAGGGGAGCTGATGCCTCGTCCACCTGCCCACCCAGCTGCTCCAAGTACGCCTGGTGCAGCGCGGCGATGAGCCCCTCGGCGGCCTCGGCACACTCGGCCTTGAAGGTGGTCTTGGGCCCCGGTGTGATCCTGGCATGACGCAGTGGGCTGCCGGTCTGCTGGCTGCCGGTCTGCTGGGCGGCCTCGAGCTTCTTCCTGTCCCTCTCTCGGTTGAAAATGGTCCTGTAGCAGACGGTGGAATCGTAGCCATAGCTCTCCTCCCACTCGTTGAGCACCGACTCGGCGCCGACGACCGTCGGCCACCCCTGTGTTGGGGCCAGCTCGTTTCGCCTCTCGATTGCCCATTTGAGCTGCTTGAAGAAGCTGGGCTGCCCCACCTCAGGCTCGCCCCCCGTGTACACGAGCACAGAGCCAGACGTCAGGTCCGGGGGTGCACCCCGGGTGTTGGCGCTCGTCTTGACGACGAATCGGCCGAACCTGCTCCTGTACTCGATGGCCAGATTGCGGCTCTCGGGGGGCACGTGGGAAAGGCATCTCTCGACCAGTTTGTCGAAGTAGGTCTCGGCGAGTATTTGAAGGTAGGCGCGATGGCGGTCCGAGTGCAGTTCTGGACACAGGTGCGTGACGGGGTCGAGATGGTCGCCCTGTGGTGGGAAGGTCGACCGCGCTATCACGCCCTCAAGCTGGGACGCTGCCGGCGCCCTCTTCGCCAAGGGTGGCGAGGGCGGCTTGGCCAGCGGCTGCTGCTGCTGCGAGGGCGGCGGCAGCATCGACAGCCGGGGAGTCTGCCCCCTCGGCGATGGGTCTGGGGTGTTAGAGTGATGCTCTGGCGTGCCGCTGCCAGATATCGCGCGCTTCTTGGCCGCCCTCTCCTGCACGCCGCCACTGCTGTCGTCCCCCTCCTCCCCCTCCCCCCCTCTGCCCGCGACTGACCGTGCCCTCTTGCTGCCCAGAGAGAGATCGAACTCCTTGATGATTTCTTCATAGCCCACCAGGGGCGGCAGCATGTCGCTCATGACACTGTTCCGGTGGGCGATGGCGCGTTGCAGCGCACCCGCGGCGCCACACGTGTGGACGGAGAAGGACGCCAGCGCCGGCGAGCCCTCGAACTGCACGTGGAAGGTGGCCGTCAATGGGTCGTAGATGATGCCGAGAGGGTCGCATATGTCAGCCAGGCGCTTGAGCAGGGCGGGGGCGACCTTGTTGATGGACTTCTTCTCCTCCCGTCGCTGCCTGACCTCCTCCGGGTACAGGCGGGTGTAGAGGGCTACGTAGTCGAAGTGGGGGTCGAACTCGGGTGAGGGAAGGCCGGCCGACTCGATGACACCGTCGTCGTCGGCGAACGTGGCCTCGAAATCCGTGAAAATGCATGAGGACCCGGGCGCGGCCTGGGAGATCAGGCTGTTCCGGTCGTCGATGGCAACTCTGAGCATACAAAACGGCACAACGCACAAAGCGATCGGTCGGTCCATCGCTTCCGCTGCTCTGCCTCTGTGTGTCGTCCCTTACCTGAGTGCGCTTCTGACGGCGTCGATGCCTCCTCCGTCTTGCGCGAGGGCCTCGACGGGCTCCGACTGCCTCACACGCTGACCCACCTTCCACCGCAGTCTTGACAGCTCGTTGTGCCACCACACCGTCAGAGGCTCGTCCTCTTGCTGCCCCCCGCCCTCGCCGCCCTTCCTTTGGGCCTCATAGAGGTCACGCAGCTTCTGCAGGTAGGCCCTCACCAGGATATTCAAGTATAGCTTCCGCTGGTACGCCTCTGACACACGCCGGGGGGGCTCAGGCTCTGGTCTCTTCTCGATAGGCTGTGGCGTGCCGTCTCTTGATTCAGGCCTGGTGACCTCAGGAATGCCCATGGCCTTGCCCCTTTGGTTGCGGCAGCTGACGGCCTGATAGAGGGCCGCTAGCAGGCCACCCGCCTCGTCCACAGGGAAGTGTGCGGGCCCCTCGTGGCCGACCGTGACGACGAATCTGTGCTTCTTGTCGTCGAAGACGATGCCGAGTGGGGTGGGGGGCGGCAGCTTCTGTTGCAGCTTAGAGAGAATGCATCCTGCGATCGATGCCTCGCTCCTGCCCGCATCGCCGCCGCCATCTCCATCGGCAGCTGAGACCGGTGGCTTGGGCTGGGGCTTGGGCTTGGGTTTGGGCTGGGGCTGTAGCTGTGGCTGTTGTTGTGGCTGTGGCAGCTCTTTCCGCCGGTATTTGGTCACATCAAGCTGATGCGGGAGAGCCGGCGGGCTCTGTTGCTGCTTGAGGTGCCTTCGCTGCTCCATGATGGGGCGGAGCATGGCCACGTAGTCGAGGGCGAGCTCGCGTGCGGCGAGGAAGCCGTGCTTGGTCGCTGAGAAGGCCTTGCAGGGCTGCAGGGGCTCCCCTGTCGCCTCGTCGATGGGAACACTGCTCACGTCCTCACCTGACACACCCAGCAAGAAAAGCACGCTGCATGTGTCGAAAGCACCCACTACGTCTCTCTCTCTCTCTCTCTCTGTGTGTGTGTGTGTGTGTGTGTTCTGCCTGTCGGCTCACCGAAGAGCTCATCCCATTCGGCCTCGTCGACATACCCCTTCCACGAGCGCAGCCTGCCGCCCCACTTGATGCCCTTGTCGTGAATCCGATGTGGCACCCTGGCAGCTTTGGTCCACAGGTCCGGGTGCAGGTCCACCCCCGCACCCTCCTCCAGCACCGGACGGCCGGCTGCCTCTCTCTCACTTTCGCCGGCCTCTTCCTTGTCAGACTCGTCACGCTGCGCGCTGCCCTTGACCTCCTCGTATGGCAGGTCGACAACGCGAAGGTAGGAGTCCAGCTCGAGAGGGTGGGCGCCGAGTCGCTGGCTCTCTTGGGCCACCTCGTTGCGCAGTTGCAGGGCCTCACGCAGGCCCTCCTTGACGCACTCGACCGCACTCTTGGTCTCGGAGGGCCGGAGGCGCTGCCCAGCTTTGGCGATCCTCTCGTAATTCGCCCCCATGACGGCGCGGAACTTGGTTGTGGCGGCCTCGTACCGGATGGCGAAGTTGGGGACCTCCTTGCGCTTCTTGCCCTTGTGAAGCTGCTGGTGGTGGTCCATGAGCTTGCGCAAATAGTCGCGGACGATGGCCTCGAGCTCGTCCCTCTGCTCCTGCGACAGGGGCGCCGGCTCGGGCGTGTTGCTCCTTCCACTGTGGCCCTTCTCTGTCGTGGGGGCGGGGGCGGGGGAGGCAGGGGAGTTGCGATCGTCATCTGCTGGTGGTGTGGGATCGACGCCGAAGTCCATCAGCACCTGGTCGTAGCTGGACAGGGGGGGCTGGCCTCGCGCCTGGGCCCGCTGATTGCGACGGACGATAGCCTGCCGTGCCGCGATGCGACGCCATGCAACACAAGGCAAGGCAAGAAGGAGAATGCAATCAATGCACTCGTGTTGTGTGTTGTGTGTTTGTGTGTCGCCTGCATGCTCTACTGTCCCTACCTGTTTGAGAGCTTGATCGCACCCGAGTGCGGCCACGTCGAAGTACTCGAACTTCCCTCCCAGGCTCTCACCGCCCACGCCAAACCGATGCTGCGCCAGGTTGAATGTGATGCTGAGCATGGGGCGGTCGGCGCAGAGCCTCTTCTCGAAGGGCAGGCCGGCCACCAGGTGGCGCTTCAGCGCAGGCAGGACGGCGGCGGCGATCCGCTGAAACTTGGCGATCTCGGCGTCACGGCCGGGATCTCTGTTCTTGCGTCTTCGCGCAGCGCCCTTCTCTCGATGGCCGAGACGGTTGGCCAGCGCCTTCTGGACGACGACCTCATGACCCTTCAGCAATGGGACCCCCTGCGCCTCCGCCTGCGTGTTGCGGTCAAGGACGACTTGGCTGAGGGCGTCGACAAAGCCGTCGAATGACGCGATCGAGTGCGGCTTGCCCTCCTCAGCCCCCGAAACCCTCGCACGCAGCTCGCGCCGCTCCTCGTCCAGCACGATGCCCAGTTCGGTGCCGTCGCTCCTGATCTGCTCCTGCAGCATGGCCAGGAACTTGCGGGCAAGCAGCGTCAGCTCGTCCGGTGTCCCTTCCTTCCCCTTGAGTGAGGGTCTCGACGGGTGCGGCCCGTTGAGATGGTCCAACCCATCGATGGTCTCGACGCTGTCGCCCTCCCACTCGTCCTCACGACCGTCGATCAGGTGGCCGTATGACGTCCACAGGTGCGCCCCCAGATGGGCAGCACGCCGGTTGCGGGCTATCAGGGCCTTTCGCAGCGCCGCCACCACGCCGTGTTTGGCCACGCTGAACGTCTCCACAGGCTGTTTGTGGTGCTCCACCACGAAGTGGCCGTCTTTGTACTGGAGCGTCATCGTGGTGCGGCTGCCTTGCTGGTACTTCTGGTGGATTTCGCGCATCAGACACTGGGCCAGGCGGTCGGAGGTTGACGAGCCAGCGCTGCTGTGGCTGCCAGTGCCGTGTGGGATGTCGCCTGGTCGATTGGTTGCAGAACGGGGTAAGGAGCGGCCTGGCTCGGTGACGGGGATGCCCAGGACTTCCTCGTAGCCCACGATGGGCGGGGAGATGAGTCGATTGCGCTCCTCTACCACTCTGACAAACGCACAATCACCAGGCAGCCACAGTCGATCAACGTTGTCCCCTCACCCCCTCCATTTGTCCTTCCTCCTCACCATACCGTTTAAGGGCCTCGCTCACTCCCAGCTCCCGGGTGACTGACACAGGTTTGCCAAACACCAGCTCCCCATCCGACTTCCTCTTGTGCCGCGTCCGGAACCGCAGCCTCACGGCCTTTGACGACCCCAGCATCTCCACGCCCAGCTCCTTGCGCGCTGGCAGCAGCTTCCTGAAGCCGTCCAGCAGCCCCTCGGCGTCTTTGATGGCCTGCTGCATGAATGCTTGGTCGAGGGACTCGTCGCTCTCGGCGGTGGCGCTCCGCTCGCTCGGCTGGGGGGACGCATGGGCTGCATTGGGGGAGGAAGACTGCTGCTGATGCACTTGCTGTGGTGGTGGTGATGGTGGTGATGGTGGTGGTGAGGTGGTGTCGGGGGGAGGCTGAGGCGGCTGCGTGTCGGCCGCCGACGGTTGTTGGTGCGGCTGCGGGTGTCGCTTGTTCGGCTGCTGTGCTTTTTGTTGCCTCTTGATGGTGACGTCGAAGATGTGCAGCAGCTCGTACACGGCCGACTCGTCTTGCTCCTCAATGGCGGCCTTCAGACACACGATGGGACCCTATCGGATCGACCAAGCCAAGCAACACCAGACACACATGATACAGACAGACAGGGATGGGAAGACAGGATGCATTGCACGTAATGCGAGTGAGTGGTTTGCATTTGTACAGACGTACGTACGTCTTCCGTTTCGTGAAGGTCCATCCCCTTGGCCCTCTCGTAGATGGCCGTCTTGGCCATGTCAAAACCCTTCCCGCCGTCCACAAACGCCCTGCATGCACCGCACCCGCGAGACAAACAGTGTCTGCCTTTGTGTCTGTCACTCTCTCTGCACACACAATCATCCACGACCGGGCGCGGCGCACCTGCTGGCTTGCTCCGGTCCGAACCATCTCTCGGTCAGCGCATTAAGGGCGGCTTTCGAGTACTCCTCCTCGTCCGCCATTCACTGCACGCCCCTCTGCCTCACACACGGAAACCGCCCCGCAGGCCAGATGGAGGGCGGAGTGCGCCTGCCCCGTCACCGCCACTGCACGGCAGAAGTCCTCAGAGCCCACGGGCCGTCAAGGGTGGACGAATGCCGCAGATCTCCTCAACCGCATGCTAGAGAGGGCCGGGTAAGAGGCAAGATATCTGTGGCTTCCTGTCTGTCTGGTCGAGCTAAGGGGATGACGCCGCGCCCGTAGAGAGGTGGAAAGGCCGTCGAACGCTCCTTTTTTCCCCTCCCTTGGATGCTTCAAGCTCGCAGCGAGAGAGTTTTCCAGCCGTCGAGTTTTGCCTTCCCACTCTCTCCTCGGTGGCAACAGAGCCGGCGAATGGGTAGGATGGACATCCCGCTGATGGAGGATCTCCCCCCCGGCGCCCACAACACGCTGGTGATAGCGCTGATAGTGTTTGTGGTGCTATGGATCACCAAGATCACCATCCAGACGCTGCGGCTGTTCGAGCTGCACCAGAAGATCCTCACGCAGGAGGCCCTCTACCTTGACGGCATGAGCAGCTACGCCAAGGACTTCCAGCGGCTCGTCCGTGCGCACTTCAACCAGATCCTCCGCATGCGCCGCACCGTCCCCCCCACAACCGTCCCGCGTGTCTCGGTCTTCGTCGCCGTCGATGCCGCCTCACTGCGGGTCGTCTCGGACACTTCACCAGGCCACGGGGCGAGAGTCGGCGTGCAGTTCCGCTTTGATGCCTCGGTGCCCTGCTCCATCACCCTCTACTGGGGAGCATCGCTGCATCTCCTGCATCGGCTCCTCAAGGTGGTCGAGGAGCCGCCCGAGAGCGCCTCTGAGCGGGAGCGGGCAGCCAGCCGCACGGCGCTTCGCAACCTGCTGTACCTGAGCTCGATTCGCGTCGACCAGCCAACCACACCCCCGCCCACCCAGGGTCCCATGGCCGCGCTGGGCACCGGCGTGACCAACGGCCTTCGGTTGCTCGGCCAGCGCGGCCGCCCTGCACAGGCGGCCGACTCAACACGGTCGCTTTTGGAGATGGAGGAGATCGACGCCTCCAACAACGGCGGCAATGCGAGTGCCAGCTCGGCCAGTTCCCAGGCCGAGAGGGACCAGCCCACGTGGTTTGCCAACGGCAAGTACGTCGACAAGTCGCGCGAGGCCTTCTTCCAGTCGGGGGCGGGGCAGCTCTACGAGACACCGCCGGCAGAGATGATCGACTACAGCACCCTCAGGGCCATGGACACATTCGCGGTGGCCGCCCCGTCAGGCGGTGCTGGCGCCAGCAGCGCCGCGGCAGCCGAGGCGACCACCCCGTCAGACACCACGAATCAGGACCTGCAGGTGCCGCTGGTCATCATTGCGACGGGGCAGCGGTCGAGAGCCACATCGGCGTCTCTGGGGTCCATCGGCGGCGTGCCGATAGCGGAGGGTTACTGCCAGGTGACCGTGGTGCGTTTCAAGCCCGGCGAAGACCCCAATGTGCCCGCGGCCGAGGTGGTGCGTCAGGTGGTGCTGTGCAGCCGGGTGGGCAACGGTGCGATGGGCGGTGACGGGGGGCCGCTGGGGCCGCTGGGGCCGCAGGAGGCGAAGGACATCTATGGGTTGGAGGACGAGCATGACAGGGACTGCCTGATCTGCATGGCCAACCCCAAGGACGCCATGCTGCTGCCATGTCGACACTGCACGCTCTGCTACTGCTGCCTGCGATCACTCCGACAGGTAGGTATACAGACAGACAAACAGCCAGACACACCAACAGATGGAGGAATCAATATCATGCAGCACACTCGTTTCTTGTATGTATCTGTCTGTGTGCCCCCAGGAGCGTTGTCCCCTCTGTCGCGTCAACTTCTCGAGTTTCATCACCTTCCCGATCCGCAAGGACCCCACACCCCGCCGCGGCGGCTCCGGCTCGTCCAACAATTCGCCATCCAACAGACCAGACAGAGGCAACCCGCCCCAGCCACCGGGTGGCAACAACGGCGGAGGGGGTGATGACCGCTCCTGCGGGCCCCCCGGTCCTCCCGGAGGATCGCCTGGTCGACGGCCTGATGGGGGCGGAGGAGGCGGCGGGTCAGGAGGAGACAGAAGGCAACGCGACTCGACAAACCGGTCTGGCGGCGGGCTGATGGGGCGGCTGAGGGCACTGACGGGCCAGCGACACGATGATGAGGCGTCAGTGAGCGGTGGAGGGTTCCTTGGCGTCAATCTGGGTCTCTTCCACTCCCTGCCGGGCATCAGCGGGTCCTGGGGCGGCGGGGCCACCGGCAACTCGAGCGATGTGACGCCCCTCCTGAACCACGGCGCCCCCTCTGCGCCTATGAGCTCCCCTGCGGTGGCGGACCGCTCAACCGCAGATATCCTCGCGGCCAGACCACCACACGCGCCCACCATCAATGTGGAGCTGGGAGGGCTTCTGTCGTCTTCCCGTCCGGACAGCAAGAAGGCACACGAGGGAGGGGGGCTGGGGATGGCCACCGGTGCGTCTGGGGCGGCGATGAATGGCGGCGTGTACACACAGGCGACGGCGAGTGGCAGCGGGAGTGGGGGTGCGAGTGATGAGGAGCTGTATGAGGACGCCGAAGAGGCGGATGACGTGGAGGAGGGCATGGGGGTGCGGCTGCTGAGCCACGCTGCTGCTGCAGCACCAGCACCGGCACCGGCCACAGGCACAGCCACGGCAGGTGATGGGAGGCGGAAGGTGGTCAAGGAGGAGGCGTGTGGCGGTGGGGGCCGCGCCATCTTAATGAGTGGGAGAGATGTCGTCTGACTGATCGATCGACGTGGGATGGGACAGACAGACAGACAGACAGATTGGCGACGTCGCGCGTTTTTCCTTTTGCGTGTGGATGCAGTTGCATTGTGCCCACATTTGTCATCTGCGCGTTCTTTCATTTCTCTCACGTCGCGTGCCTCTGTCTGTCCATTCAGGCCAGCAGCCGCGAAGGGGCACACACAGCTGCACGTTCGCGTGAGGGGGTAGAAAGGGACAGAGCAGATGACGAACAGGCAGACAGCTGAATGTGTGTATGTGTGTGTATTGGCGTGGGTGGCTGGGCTGGGTAGACACGGACGCCCACCTCGTTGGTTGCCGAGTCAGTCGAGGCCATCTCTTTTTCTGATGGATAGCGACCATCCCATCCACAGACAGATTTCATGCATCAAGCACTGACTGAGACTGACTGCATGTGATGGATGTGTTGATTGATGTCAACCTTCTGACACTGACGAACGAGCAGCAGAGTCGAGTCCCCCCGCACCACATCCCTATCATTCGTAAGTATGCAACTATGCATCAAGACCTGCACAACCAGGTAGGCACACACACACACAGTACATAATTCCTAGCCACACACGCAAGTGACATGCATGACAAAATTCCCCTTCAGTCAGTTAGTCAGACGCTGCCACTATGAATGAAGGTCTGTCTCCTCTCTCAGCTGCCTTAGACAGGCATTTATGCAGACAGATATTGGGGGCACGCAGGCACGCAGGCAGCCAGGCAGGCAGCCTCTTTTGGACCTGCTCTCAACGCAACGCAACTAGTCCGTCAGTACCACAAACCTTAATTATTTCCCCACGAACCCATTCGCTCATAGTATCAGCCCACTGGCTGACCTGACATACAGATTCGCATACACTCCTGTGGGGTCGACTTAGAATGAATGGCGAAAAAACCGTCGGTCAGTGCGATCATCCACTGTCATCTCCTCCCATGCCTCGTCTCAGCCTCAGTCAGTGTGCCATCTTCCCCCCCTCAGCTTTCAACGGTAGTGTGTTCAGCAGCTCGCTGCTGCTGATAATCCTGTAGTAGCACGGTCCCTCATCCGAGTAAAAGACGTCGCTCACCACACACTCCCGATCCAGACCCACACTGCGGGCCAGCTGCACCTCCCCCGTGCTGCTCACATAGTGGTACACCTCGGTCCTCTCGGCACGAAAGCCATACACCGACCGCAGAAACCCTCCAAAAGGCAGGCCCTCACACTGCGGCGATGGCTGTGCGTCTGACGCCGGCTGTGCGGGCAGACAGGCCATGGCCGCGCGGCAGGTCGGGGCGATGGTTGACCTGAACAGGTATACGGGCTCGATGGCCCCTGCTGCTGCCGGTGGTGATGCAGCGGTCGGTGCGAGGAATGTGGGTGGTGCGGGTGAGAGGGGCAGGATGCCGAGAGTCGTCGAGCACGATGGCGAGTCAGAGAAGACCATATACCGATACTCTGTGGCCGTGCGGTGATGGAACGAGGGCGTCCTCGAGGCGAGCTCTGCACACACATACCAGTCACCAGCCAGCAATGACCCCCACTTCATCATCGCTTTTCCACTATCGTCCTCACTCACTTCTGTGCCACCCCTTGGCAGCGGCCCTTTTCCCCTGATGCTGCCCAAACCAGGCATACTCGACAATGACAGTGAGGCAAATGGCCATGATGGTGACGGGAATGAGCATTGGGAAGCAGGCCCTGAGGAGCATGGCCCCGTGCAGCTTGGGCAGCGGCGGTGGCGGCCGCCGCTTGCGGTGGGCGGGCCACACCGTGGGGCTCATGGGAGGGTGCCGCCCGTCGAAGGGAGAGGTGATGGTGTAGGCCGCGATTTGCAGGAGCTGCTTGGCTGTCAGACGACGACGCATCACCATCAAACATCGAGGAACTGAATCAAAGCGGCAGGAACGACATAGAACAACAGCGCATCTTGCACACTGTAGAGAAAGCTCGCGCACAACGGCTGACGCGCCTCCACCGCCGACCTCATCGCTGCCATGTATTCATCATACCAGTCCAGCGGTGTTTATCCGATGGGGTACCCGACGGGTAACTACCCGTCCCAGGCCGGCTTCACCACCACCCAGCACCAGAGATACCAAGCACTCTCACAAAACATGATGCACCTACAGCAACAACAGCAGCAACCGTACCTCCAGATGCCCCAACAACAACAGCAACAGCAGCAGAAGCCACAAGCACAGCCCCATGCAGCACAAACACAGCTACAAGCACAGGAACTGACCAGGACCAGTGCGGCCCATCGGGCGGAGCGAGCGAGTATGGGGGCGCCTTCCCGCGTGGGCATGGGTATCGGTAGGGCTGGGGCTGCAGCTGAGGGTTACGCGCGTGGGGCGGAGGGGACAGCACAGGGGCAGAGGGAGTACCGCAGCGCGGCTATAACGGCAAAACAGACATCAGACATGTGAGGGAAATGATGAATGAAATGGTGGTGTTGTCTCCCGCATTTGTGTGTGTGTGTGTGTGTGTGTGTGTGTGTGTGCGATGACTCAGACACGCCGGCAAGCAACTGAAGACCTTGGTGACCAAGCCAGCTCCAGGGGTGAGCAAGGACAAGCCAGACTAATACGCGAGATACACTGACGCGTCGCTGTACATGCCGATTGCAGGGTGGTGGTGTGCCACAGCGTCCAATTGGGGCCGGAGGCCAGACGGCTACCCCAGACGATTTGTTGGGATCGCAGCAGTCATGGGTCGGTTCACCGAAAGGAACAAGACAGACATGTCTCTTACGTCACACGCAGCTGCGTGTGTGTGTGCTGCATGCGATGCGTTGCAGGTCGACAGTTCGTTGATGCACCTGAAGATGCTCGTGGATGCCAGGCTGGCGGCGACGGAGGTCGGGCAGGTGAAGAGGAGCTACACAGCCTTCTTGAACGCTCTCAAGTCTCACATAGAAGAGGCGCAGACATGGCAACACCAGACACCACGGGTGGGTGACTTGACTGACCACCCGGTCAGCCGCGCCGCGTATATGCAGCGGGGTTTCCCTGCTGTGTGTGAGACAGATTGTGGACAGGCTATCGGTCGTCAGGGCGTCGCTCAAGCCCATGGTCACTGCGGATTTGCGCGATCAGTTCCCCACTATCTACATTTTGACGGTGCGGGCCCTCAACTGCATCGCCGCCAAGGCTGCCGAATGCGCCAGACCAGCCAGGCCAGACGGTGGCGACAAGGCCGCGACTCAGGCAAGCATTAGGAGAATGCTCGATGGGCAATGGCGGTGGGCGCGGCGCAAGAATGTGGCTCGTGTGCGTTGGTTGCATTGCATCATCAGGGCGCCGAGGGTGCGGAGGAGCCTCCTGCCGAGGACGCAACGAACGTGGATAAGCAGAAGTACTTCTACTCGACGCTGATGAAGCTCAAGCTGGACCTGATAGACACCGAGAGGACCCGGCGGGACACCATGAGCGACATCTGGCAGCATGTGCTGGTGAGCGAGGTTGGCCAAAGCGACACCACTGGCTCGTTTCCATGTGTGGGCATCTTGTTGGTCTCCCTCCCTGGTGCTGCCTGCCATGTGTGCTGTGCAGGCAAGGGGTCTGCCTGTGTCTGACTACGAAAAATGGTGCGTCGCGCAGCTCGGCGGGGCTTCAGCGTTCAAACCCAACTCGTGGGTTGCCAAGAAATACGGTCGACCCATCACTTCAAAAGGTCAGCGAAAGACAGACACATTGATGATGCACCAACACATACCTCCTGTGCGTGCAGCAGTTGAGGGGTATCCGCCGCCGCCGCAGCAGCAGCAACAGCAACAGCAACAGCAGCCGCCATACGTCGCCCCCCCTCAGCGGCCCGTGACAACGAGCACGACAGCAGGTGGTCAGCTCTCGCACACCTTCGCCCCTGGGTCGTTCGCGGCTGCCCGTGCTGCATGGGCTGGGGGTGACTATGGGCAGCAGCCACAGCCGTCTTATCATCATCCTGCGGCAGCAGCAGCAGCAGCAGCAGCAGCAGTTGAGTATCCGTCATCGCACCATCATCAGGCGGCCATGGGTGTGGGTGGGTATCGGGGGCAGGTGTATGGTGCTAGGAGATAGAGTGGATGGGTGGATGTGTGTTGCTTTCTTCTCTCTGTGCCTATCTATGGTTTGGCGACTGATTTGTGGGTATGCATTCGGTTCGGTGCGGTTGGTTGTTCTTACTTGCGTGGGACGGAGAGATATATGCGATGGTGATGCTGACTGACCAGCATTTGTGTCGTCTCTTGGTGTGCACCCCTGGAAGCACAAGCACAGAGGCACTCTTGGCACACGAAATCGATGGATGAGCCAGGTCCGTCACTGTCAGCCACCGATAGTGCACGCCACGCCACGCAACCAGGAGGCAGGCAGGCAGGCAGGCAGGCGGGCGGGCAGACACATCGATGCGATCCGTCAATCCTAATCAACCAGGGCGCAAAACACACCGGCAACAGATGACATGGATGGGTGTGAGATAGACTGTGAGAGAGAGGGGAAGGGGAGGAAGGGAGAGCCAAAACTGTCTGTCGTCAGCGCTGACACTCCCGCCCCCCGTCCACACACCTGCCTGCCCAATTCATGGAATGTACCACCACACCAACATGCGATCCACGACTGACTTTCTGCACATACATACGCACACGTCCGCCCGTCGCTTCCTTCACGCTCCCCTTGTGTGTGGTGTGGTGTGTTTGATGCGTGTGCTTCGTGTGCGCAGGATGGGCAGCTCTTTCTCGGTCTCGTCGCACGGTGTGTGGTCGGTGTGTGTGGGGGGCTCGGGGTGCTTGCGCTTGCGATCGATACGGATGATGGCGGGGGTCGCCAGGGGGGCCGTGGATGGGGCGGGGGATGGGTCAGGGGCGAGGGCGAAGGTGAGGTGGTCGTGCTGGTCCCCTCCTTGTGCCTCGTTAGTGCGAAACGACTGACACAAACACGAGGGGGAAAGGAAGCAGGGAGACATGCATGTGTATGTATGTATGTGTATGTCTAGTGTGTGTGCCGTGCATCGCTGACATCAGCTTGCGAGAATGAAGGCGTGGACACATCCTGAGACTGACGGACGAGCAAAGGGGGGGGACATTTCATGTGTTGTGTGGACGTGTGCCCACGCACCTCATCATTGCGTATGGGATCTGTGGGCGTGTCCTCGTCGCTGCCTTCGAGCACCATGGGGCTCACGCGCAGCTCGTGGTGGTGGTGGTGGTGGTGGGATGCCGCAGCTGCAGCCGCTGCTGCTGCCGCCTTGAGCATGCCATGGATCTCATAAAACACCACCTCACCACTGTTGCACCAATCCAGCTCCTGTGCACACACACACAGAGAGAGAGAGGGAGAGAGAGAGAGAGACGTATAACGTAGCTGGCAGGTGTGCATTGTCTGGTGTGTCGTGTTGGTGCAGCTCACGATGAACAGGTCGACAAGGAGAAGTTCGACCCAGTACGAACGCACACCGACAGAGGCATACAACACCCTCAGATCCTGCAGAGAGATCATGCACTCATCGTCAGGGTATGCCTCGCGATAACGCTTCTCGGCATCATCAGCCACCGAAGCTGCACACACAAGAGCACCACTCTTCCCACCCCTTGTGTGCTGTGTGTGTCTTGTCTGCCTTCTCACGGGTCAGGTATTGTGCGGCGTCTTGGCTCCCGAACATGCGGATGTTGGCCTGTCCCGTCAGGTGGCCGCCCAGCCGGGGCAGCCGCCAGCCAGTCGCGGGCGAGGGCTCGCCGAAGACGTGACGCAGAAACCATGGATGATCCATCGCCTGATCACAAAGACAGCTGGTTGCTGGCTGTGGGTGTCTGTCTACTGGTCGCGTGGATGCGTGTGTGCATGGTGATGCGATGCGTGCCTGTGTGGCGGTGGGTCTGTTGTTTTCTTGCACGGTCAGGCACCTGCAGATCAGGTCCTTGAGCTCGTCGGACACACCGTTCCACACCTGCACACACACATACACACACAGGGTGGGGTGTAGGTAGTGGCGGATGCTGTCTGTCTGTGCTCACCTTGCCCTCGAACCACCCTTTGCTGAAGCTGAAGTGTCCGTGCTGGATCTGCTCGCGACACAGCTCCTGCTGGCCCTTGTCGCACGGCCACGGATGACACCCACACCCGGCGAAACTCTCCTGAACAAACCGACACACACACACACACACCGCTACACGTGAGGTTTGTGTGTGTGTGTGTGGTTGGCCGCGTACGTAGAGAGTGACGCCGAATGACCAGATGTCACATTTGGTGCCGTATGAGTAGCGGCCGTCGCGAGCAAAGAGCTGGGGGGCGGCGTAGGCACGGGAACCTGACAACACACAAACACAAACACACACACACACACGGGCGAATCAGTGCATTGTGTGCGTGTGTGTGTGTGTCTGTGTGGGGGGGGATGTGGGTCGTACCAGGGTTGTCTGTGGGTGACCGGCCGCATGCGAAATCGAACGACAGACCAAAGTCGATGAGCTCCACATGCTGTTCGTCACACACGACGCGACGCACACAAATGCACGTCAACGCCTTCCCTTGTCTTCTTGTTTGGGGGGGGGGG